GTCTGATTTGCATACCCTTAAAAAAAAAAAAGGCAGCTACTTCATTTGAGTTAATCATGCAGTTTAGAGGAAAGAAGGAATGACTCAGCAGGTTACAAAACATTCAGGGGGGAGACGGTTACACAGGAGGCCCGCTAGCTGATCCATAGTACACTACTCAAGAAACTCCGTCTCCAGAATGACATGTTTCTTTGACAATATTCAATGCCTTTGTTTGGTAGAAATCTATTTCATAAAGCAGTAAAATACCAGTTTGTCTAGAATTCAGAGGACCAAAAAAAAATATTAAAACTATATTTTTCTCAAATACTAGACTTTTCCTTTGAGACAGAAATAAACAGCAAGTAAATAGCTAATAGCTAATACTATTGCCATTTTATGTCAGATAGTTAGATTTAATCCTATCCATTGCACCTGTTCCTTTTACAATGTCACGCAGTTATAATTGATGTTCACAATAATGACCTTGAGATTGCTATGTGCTGCAGGGTCCTTTCTAAATCATTAAAGAAAGATCAAATTACATTTTATGACTATTTGAAGTCAAGTCAACTTATCATATACAAATTTTTTTAATTAGTTATAAACATAGTCTCTTTATATAAAGTAACTCATTTTTCAGTAAGTGTAAGTGTCATGAACAGAATCCATGTCTAACAGAATGTAATATCAGGTTAAACGTAACTTTTGTACATTTTTCTGAAATAAAAATGTCTTTTGGACTTTAGATAACATAAAAGAATTAACATATAACCTAACACTGTATGTTGAAAAGAATAAACAAAAACCACGTGACCAGCAAGGGGCGCAGGGGTTGAGGCACTAGACTCCCACTTTTCCTCTCTGTCCCATTGTCTCTGTCTCTCTCCAGCAAGTGCACACGCCCTATGGCATAAACCAAGAAAGAAAAAAAAGAATGTGCTTTTACGAGTAAACATTATACCTATATATAGGTATAATAGAATATACATTAATATATTTACAGTGATTATTATTGGGTGATGGAATTATAGGTTAAATGATTTTTTCAGTATTGAGAGCTGCCTTCCTTCTAGCCTTCTTCCTGTAGCCCCAGGCTCCTCTGTCTCTATGAGGACTTGATCACACTGCTATTATATTTAGAACTGTCTAGATGTTAAAAATGCAAACCTTTGGGCTAGCAGGTTGTATGGTGGTTAAGGCACTGGGTCCCACATGGCTGACTTCAGAGTTGGGGGTCATTGACTGGCAGCTTGAAAAACACACTGAGCATGTGTGTGTGCATGCCCACAATCCTGAGAAGAGAAGGGACGAGAAAGTACCCAGGTATTGCCATCCTCCCTGGGGAGTAATTTCTCATTTTCTGTCACTCTGTATGTCTCTGGCTCTCTCCTCTCTGGTGTGCACACATGCCCTGTGACAAAAATCCAAAACAAAAATAAAAATAGAACAGTGATTCAGAGCAACGCCAGACATGAAGTAGGAAGATGAAGTAGGAAAACATGCATTCTGATTTCTCTTCACTTTACATTCCAGCTCTCCCAAAGGTGATAGGACTACCCATCTATGACAATTTAGACTGCACCAAATTCAAAAACTTGAGAATGGACTTAAAATCTAGAAAACCTCACTTCCCCATGGAAACCTATAGGATTTCTCTATTGTACTGAAAATAAGTCTTTCATCTCTAGATACTCAGTTTAGACATACCAGAATTATTTATAGAGTCATAGTGACCACATTCCCAATATGGTTAATAGTAATTATTTTTCTGATTACAAAAACAAAAGTGCTTGCTTCGGTAGCACACATACTGATTACACAAGCAAGATAAACTCTTAAACTGTGCTAGTAATAAGGCAAAATGATACAGCTAATTTGGAAAATAATTTGGTAGTTTCTTCAGAGTTAAACACACACTTCCAATCTCACCCAGTGATGATGGTTACATGACTGTCCATACTCATCAAACTGAATTTTACTTTCTGTAAACTAATGCCAATAAGCCTTACTTTAAAAGGAAGAAAGAAAAAAAAAAAGACAATGACGTGGTCAATATAGAAATTGTGGAAATGCAGCATATAAAGATGAATGTGAAATTCATTTTTAATCTCAGCAAACTGATATTATAGGTTTGATATTGTGTTACCATTTCCTTGTTTTTTTTTAATGTATATTTATTTATTCATTTCATGGGAGATAGAGACAGAGACAGAGAGAGAGAGACAGAACAATGGGCACTGCCAACATGGTTTTCATCGTGTGATCCGCCCTGTCTCAGCCAGCCTGAATAAATGCATGTGCCCAGCATGTTCAGGGAGTCCCCAGAAAAGAACCTAAGACCTGTCCCATGTGAGTCCAGTTGCATTATGTGACTGCTTTGCCACTGGCTGGCTTATTTTTCTGGCATTGTTTTTACATATATATAATATTCGGGAGCAGGAAGGTGAATCCGAAAAGTTCATGGGAAAAAACTGCATGAATTTCAGAATTTTTGCACCAAAATAAACTTGTGCTTTAATTCTATTTTCCTATAGAATTTTTGAAGTACCCTTGTAGTATGAACTAATGTGTCTACTTTAAAAAAAAAAAATGGGACCAGCATATGGCAAAATGGTTATGTCACTGGACTCCCACATGGCCGACTGATTTGAGTCCCAGACCGAGATGCTTGAAACTCACACTGGGTGTGTGTTCATGCTTGCCCATGATCCCAAGAAGAGAATGAAGAAAAAGGGATTACAACATGGCCATCCCCCGCTGTAGGGGTCATATCTCACTTTCTGTCTCTTTCTGTCTCTCCAGCAAGCTCATGCATCCTTACTAAATAATTCCCCTACTTTCAGGCATCAAACCAAAACCAACATTCAATATTACTGGCTTTTTAGTGATTGTTTTTTAATTATGTTTTGGTTTTTTTGCTATAGGGCATGTACACTCACCAGAGAGAGAGGGAAAATGAGAAATCACCCTAAGGGGGATGGTCCCTCTGCACTCCCTTCTCTCTTTCTCTCTCCATTCTATGTCATAATTTTGGGCATGCTCATGCACCCTACATATTTTCCAAGCTGCCAGGTCTGGGGCTTGATCCACATACTCGGTCAGCTGCCTTAACCACCATGTCACCTGGCTAGCCCCAATATTGCTGTTTTTAAAAGGGTAGACAGTATGTTTGTTTGTTTGTTTTTGCAAAAGAGAATTGTTTTAATAAGGCAGAAACTGAAATTTCAAGCTAAAATTTTAGCTTTAAGAACTGTGAGAGTCCCAGAGGCAGTAGCACAAGTGGTAGAGTGCCATGTGGGAGACCCAGGTTTAGATGCCAGGTTGACCTGAACGTGCTGCGTATACCTTTATACACCCCTGATTCTGGCTGGGGAGTAGACTGTGGGGAGAATCATTGCATGGAAAGACCATGTCGAGAGTCTCTGTCTGTCTGTCTTTATCTCTGTATGTTTCTTTATATATAAGTAAAATAAATATTTAAAAATGTGAGAAAAAGTATAGAAATGTTAAGGCTTTAAATAAACTGTGTTAATAATGTTTGAGTAACTTCATTGATAAACCTTCGCTGTAACAATGCTTTCCCTTTTTGTAGGAAGTATGTATGTTGTTTCATGGAGAGTTTTAAAATACCTCTCACCAATTTATACGTGATTATTTTCAATTTCTTTCTTTTCCTCCCTGATACTTCTCTTTTTTTTGGAGAGTTTTTTGCCATAGGGCGCGTGCGCTCACCAGACAGACAGAGACAGAGAGATAGAAAGAGAGAAATCACCCCCCAGGGGGAATGGCCACGCTGCAATCCCTTCTCCTCCATTCTCCTCTTGGGATCTTGGGCATGCACACACAAGCGCCCGGCGTGAGTTTTAAGTCACCGGGTCCGGGACACGAACCATGGTCGACTATGTGGGAGTCCAGTGACATAACCATTACGCTAACTACTGATCCCCCCTTCCTGATATTTCTGCATGCCATCTACAGATTCAGAAAGAACAATATTCTCAAATGTTTGGCTATCTTAATCATTTCAATTCAGGTTACTAAAGTCAGTGCAAAGTTAAACAAAAACCATAGCAGAAGCTATGTTTATATTTATCTATACAATGTCATTTTCATTTTTATCTGAATTTTTATTAGTAGTATTATTTTAAAGAGATTTTTGCTATAGGGTGCGTTCACTCACCAGAAAGACAGAGAGAGACAGCGAGACAGAAAGCAAGAAGTCACCTCCCAAGGTGGATTGGCGCGCTGCAAATCCCTTCTCTTCCATTCTCCTCTCAGGATCTTGGGCATGCACACACACGCACCTGGACTGAATTTAAGCCACTGCATCTGGGACTTGAATCACAGTTGACTACATGGGAGTCCAGCGACATAGCCATTACACCAGCTTCTGGTCCCGATTTTTATCTGAATTTCATAGTTACAAAAATTTGCAGTGAGATACTTCAATATATCAAGTAAATCCCAATATAAGTATAGAGACCTGAGAAATCAGAAAATTCCTCCTTTCGTTTGATAGGCCAGCAAATGGAAACTGAGATTGGCGCAGGTATGTGTTAGGGTCACCCTGTCGGGCAGTGACCCTTCACCCTGGGTTCTGACCTTTCAGCCGCTCCTTCTCAGGCCATGCTACTCAGCTTCGGTCATCTGCGAACTGAAGCAGTTGGTACCATGCCCTTGATTCATAGCTTTCATCTCTCCTAAGAAGTGCCTGGAAGAATAAAATTCCAACTGGTTCTTTGATTATCCTTTCTAACTCCTACTTCGCTCGATTTGTGGTAAGGACTGACAAATTGATAAGCCACATAAATCAATTCCCTTTTAAGAACCTAGAATAAGCTCAGTCATTTTGTAACACAGAAGCTGCGTGTTGTCTGAGATTCCAAATGAAGTAAACTTTGCCTTTAACAGGCTAGCCTCAAAAATAAAATGTCTATAAAAAAAAAAAAACATGATTATATAGAACCATAGTCTGATTCATGCAAAGTATTCTTTTGCTTGCTTGTTCTTCCTAACAGATATCTGTATGCTCTTGGACAGAAGGTTTGGAAAAGATGGAAGAAACGTTACTTTGTTCTGGTTCAGGTGAGTCATCATTTTGTCCTGTTACGTAATCACTCTAATAGTGGTTCTTTATGTGGATACATCTAGCAATATCCCTGGAGGAGAAATTAAACTGTAAGTTTTTTAATGTTTAATTAATTTTAAAATGAAAGTGGTAAATGCATTGCATGTTGACACAAATAGCATTTTTATATAAAATAAATATTTCAAAGCCAAACAATTTAGTGCAACGAGTGGTTTTGGTTTATGCTTTTGCATATTCTAATAATCTATATACATTCAGAGTCACAGGGAAGTTAACATAAAACATATATATACGTTAATAGGCAGTTTGGCTAACTTTACTGTCTAGCTTAATATAATAGACTACACGAGGAGACTTCAGAAAGTTCGTGAAGGCTTAGCCACTGTGACACAGCAGTAACGCAGTTGCCCTGCAAGGGTGGAAGCCGTATGCATGGCCACAGATTTGAATTCCCTTGTTGACTTAAAAACATGCTGAACTTGGGCTCCAAGGACTCTGAGGAGCTGGAGGGCTGGTGAAAGGGAATCACAGTATGAAGAGATCCTATCAAGGCTACCTTTCTCTCTCCTTCCCTCTTCTATGCTTTCTTTGTTATCACTAACATTTTAAGAAGTCTGTTGGAAAATGGAATTAAAGTAGGAGTTTATTTCAGTGCAAAAAAAAATTTGTAATCCACAAGTAGGTTTTTCATAATACATATTTTCTATGAACTTTTCAAAGGCACCTCCCCTTCATCAAAGTGGTCTCATATCAACTTCTGCATTCAGTTTTTAGCAATATCAAATGAAATGTAGCCCCTGGAAAACTTCAGTGTACATGCATGAAAGAATAAGTCTAAAAAAAGGCAAATCAATTCTGAATATTGTTATAAAAGCAGATTTGACCTTGCAAAACCCCAGAAAAGATCTTGACAATTTCCAGGATTCTAGGATTATGCCTTAAGCATCATGGCATCATTCTGATATTTTATGGGTCAAGTATAGTACATATAATCACTCATTTTCATACAAATATGCCATATATATCATTTATTCACATAAATGTTTTATATTAATTTGCCTGTGATTGGATTCTGAATTCTAAATAGACTATTAGAATATACAGTCTAACTTCTTTTCTTGATCATGAATAATCTTTTCTCATAGAATATACTCATTAACTTAATTTTAAATTAAAAATAACTTTCTAAGTAATAGTCCTTCCATTTTATGATAAATCTAAGCTATTTTGTTCTCGACAGAAATATAAGAAAAGGGAATCACTCTTGGAATTCTTAACACAAAACAGTCTGTAAGATCTCATTGATTCCTCCCACACATTAATCAAGCTTAACTGGACTAGATCTGAACAACATGGTGAAATGCCAAGGCAGGAAAATTATCATTTTCTGTCTTCCAGCGATACAACTGTCCATAAATTGTCAGATAAAATTGCTTTATTGATGCCTTGTGATGGCACAATAACTTCATGAAAAGTGTAAAAATCAGACAAAAATAGTTTTATCCACACAACAGCCAACCAACCTGTTTTTTTTTTTTCTTTCTTTCTGGCTTAAATGTAACCTTTTCTTATGTGATGAGAATATTTGATCAACTAACTTAATAAATCACACACACACAAACACAGAGTCAATTTTTTGCTATAGAGCCCAAGCATTTGCTTGAGTAAAGGTCTCCTGTTTAGAGGTCTGGGTGACCTGTCCTTTCAAAACCACACCCATAAGGTATCCTTTACAGTTTCTAGGTTTAGTTTCCTTATATTAGTGGAAGAATTTATTTATTTATTTGTTTATAGAAGGATTTTTGCTATAGGGAGTGTATACTTGCCAGAGAGACAGAAAGTGAGAAGTCACCCCCTTCCCCCCAGGAGGGATGGCTACGCCACAATCCCTTCTCCTCCATTCTCCTCTTGGGATTTTGGGTATGCATGCACACATGCCTGGCATGAGTTTTAAGCTGCTAGGTCCAGGACTTGAACCATGGTCAACTGTGCAGGTCCAGCAACGTAACCTCTATGCTATATGCCGGTCTCTTTAGTGTAAGAATTTAAATGCATTTCCTCAGTAATTTGAGTGTAGATTTTTCTGGACATTTTAATTTTATTCCTGTCTTATAAATGTCTCACTCTTATTTATTTGACAACTTTGTGTTAGTGGTTTGTCTTTGTCAAGTCTTTCTAAAGCATTACACTGATTCCCCCCCCACCCCACCCCCGCCTCATAGAAACAGTGGCTTCCTTTTCAGGTATATATCATGCATTTTACATAGAATCTCATTTAATTCAGTAATTTTAATAGTTGATGTTACAAGAGGTCTTCAAGCAGTTCATGGGAAACATTTATTATGAAAAACTACAAGGATTTTAAATTTCTTGCACCCAAATGAATTTGTACTTTAATTTTCCCATGAACTTTTTGAGTTCTCAAAGTGACTTGGCTTAGTTTGAAAAAAGACTCTTAATGAACAGAGTTTAACTATTGGAAATAAGTTCAAGAGAACATGGGACTGTAACTCAGAAACACAAATATTTAACATTTCCTTGACATTAATCATAATAAGAAAGAATAGAGGGTTTCCGTTAGTCTAGAGACCTGGTTAAGTAACAGTAGCTAAAAGAGTTTATAATACGCCAATTGTTTTAATATGAAAAGTGGGCTTTTGTTGATTAGAGCGGTCCAACAATCACCTCATTCTTTGGGACAAGTAAGGTTTAAGGAAAGAAATCCTTTTCCATTTACCTTATTTTCTAGCATTCGATCACAAGAATCAAAAGTTATAGGACAATCATGTATACCTTATCACCCATAAGAGAGATTAGAAATGAAAAAAGGAATTGGAATACTTTTAGATTAAAAATTCCTGTCTATTTGGGAAGATTAACCATGTCTTTGGGAACCTAAATTTCTCCCAGTAACAAGTGTGTTGAAATATTAGGTTAAAAAGGTATGTATATAACTATATCAGAGTTTATTACTAGGTTGTACTCCTAATTGAAATTTAGGAAAAGTACCACCAAACTATAATGAATATAGGTATAATATTAGGTATACTAATATAGGCATAATATTGAGTTAAAAAGTATGTTAATCCATGTACTCCATAATTGAAATTTAGGAAAAATACCACCAACCTATAATGAATCTAGACTTATTCTACCCAAAGAATTATCTTAAAATTTGAAGTCATGTTTAAGAAGTATATATTTCTATTTCTACACATATGTATATACTGGATCATCGGAAAAGTCATGATGCGTTTTTGCATTTCACCGTGACTTTTCCAACACCCCATGTATTTCCACGTATTCGCACGCAGAGAATCTCCATGCCCAGATACACTGAGATATACAGCCAGTATTCTGACTCCTCTTCAAAGCTTTAAACACAGTGGAATCTTCCATTCAATTCCAAATGTAATGGGAAGACAAATCGAATGCACATACTTCAAAAATCAAGCTGGATATGTATGAAGATTCAACGACAATGACCCATTGGGAGGAACCAGGTAGTTTTTATTAGCATTTTTCCAGACAGCTCTCATTCTGTCTGTACACAGCTTGCAGGTCTATACCCCCAGGCTGCTGTTTCGAAAGGTGAAGGAGTCATTTTTCGTAGGGAGGCCAGTACACCCCTGCTGTGTCTGCTGCTGCCATCAGCGGAATGGTGCTCTGGTGATAATGTGAATCTCATCACCACTTGTAGGTGTGTACTAGAAGAGTGATATAGCTGGAGGTCCAGTCATCAGCCTAAGAATTTGTGCTCATAAAAACTGATTGAGAGTCAGGTTTGGCCAGCTGCAAAGTCATTGTCCAAAGTGAACACTCGAGGAGACCCTGAGGTGAAAAGACTTTTCAAAGACTCTCATATATACATGTATATTAGAGTCAAACAATGGGAAAATAAATTATTTGTAAATGTTGGGTGTTTGTTTAGATTCTAAGCAAGTTCAGCTTCACCCTTTTTTAGATTTTGATGCCAATATAGTTGCAGTAAGAAATAAATTTCAATATTTTTTAAGAAGCTGATTTTTTTATGAAGGTCAACTTTGGTTCAAGCCAAATTGAAAGAAGAGTGTCTTTTAAGAATGCTTGATACCTTAGCAAAATTAAACTTACATATGCCTCTTACTCATTTTTCTATGTTTCTTGAGTGCTTTAGTGTTAGGTTTGGAGTATATTATTGGCATAAAGTAGTTATGATAACTATGTCAGAGTTTATTATTAAGTCATCAGTAAAGTCATGATGAATTTTTGCATCTAAAAATATGTTGTGACTTTCCTAATAGAATAAAACCATTCAATATCTTTAAAACTGTTTGATTTAGCAAAAATGAACTATTTCTTTATTTGATATTCTGGTGATGCCTATTCCAATAACTGTATGTTCCAGGCATTGCCTATTTGGTAAATCCAAAAATTACTGAAGCACTCACCTATTAACGAAATAGTCTACATTTAAATCTGATATTTATTAAGCAATTACTTCGTGGCAAGCTTTTATATCAGGTACTTAAAAAAAAGTTTTTATTTATTTCTTCCATTAGCAAGACAGACAGAGAAAGAAAGATAGCCTCCCCAACAGAATCTTGACTCTGAACTGCACCCCAGTCTTCAGCCAGACTCAGATCATGGGCAGATGTGTGCCCAGCGTACTCAGGAAGGTCTCCCAACTTGCACTGGTGCCTTTCCATGTGGAATTGCCTCACAGAGTGTCATATTTTATCACTTCATGACCATCCAGGCCCCATAAAGCACTTTTTTTTTTTTTTTTTTTGCTATAGGGCATGTAGAAGGAGCAGAGAGAGAGAAAGTAAAAAATCACATTGGCCACACCACAATCCCTTTTCCTCCATTCTCGCCTTCTGCTCTAGGGATTTGGGGCATGCACGTACATGCACCTGGAGTGAGTTTGTGGTTTGTTTTTTTGGAAGAGATTTTTGCTATAGGGCACGTGTGCTCACTGGACAGACAGACATAGAATTAGAAACCACCCCCTCAG